TTTTTGGTATAGTAGTTGTGACTTATTCACACTATATACATTTGGCTTCCGCAACACAAACAAGAAGCAAAACCATGTCAACTAATTTGTTCTGGACTTTTATCAGAAGGGTTGTATTCTGTGTTTCAATGACATACTTTACCCTATTGTGAATCAGTGATCACAGACGCGGTCATGATTAGATGCATATGGATCTGCTTAGCGGCACATGCCATGAAATTCCTTGTTACTCAAGGGCTTGGAGCATATCGAAAGCTAGTTCTTTGGTAGTCATTTGGCAAAACTTCTAATGGTTGCATCTTGCATTAGCTTGAGAGGCGTGACTTCAAATGCCAAATGGTTCAGGTAATCTCCTTTGCAACAGAGGTTATTTATATCACGTCCCCTGCTTTGATCTTCAACAGCTTTTGAATTGGACTTAAATCTTGTCAAACTATGGTGTTTTATTGATATGTTGGTTTTAGGCTGAAGACCCCATTCTGCGTGGCTTCTAAGGGGTGTAATCAAGGCTTTTACAATCCTCTGATTGGATGGGGACCTGAAAGTTCCTCTTTTTTTTTTTGTCGCAAGGTGGTATTCTCGGATAGGAAAGTTTGACTGTGGTGATCGCTGAGATGCCTACGTCAAACATGGAGAGCAGCATTATACTCTTTTTACGATAATGATGTTCTATTTTTGCACGATTTCAGTAGAGATACGTTCTTTGGACAACAGTCCATCTAGAATGTAGGTTAACATTTAACCTAGGAGAAAACCTTTTAGCACTATTTTGTTTTTGTTATGCTAGATATTTGTTTTTATCATTTCCTGAGTGTCAAATATGTTTTCATCCATTTTCATCCTTCTGCTGCTGTAGTTTTAAAGGGGCTAGCTAGCTAACGTTTTCAAGCTGGTTGTTATGTTGGTTGTAGCGTGCCTTCCCTCCGTCTCTCACTTTTCTATTCACTCATGATTTGGCCTAATCGATCCAGTCATGATATTGAAGGAGGGGACCTCTTCTCGAAAAAAAAATTCTTGCAACTACGAAAATCACAACACAAACATCCATTTTCCATTCATTCTATCTAANCCCCCAAATTATTTCCTTATCTATATTTTGCCAGGTTAAAGAGTTCCCCCTCTCTGTTAAATATTGAAATGTAATTTTTGTTTTATTACTAAAAGATCACTTAAATCATTAATAAGATAAGAACGTCGTAATTTTATTGGAATATGAAATGTAAAATTTCATTGTTAGATAAAAAGTAATTCTTGTATATTACGATAATAGTTTCTCAAAACAACTACACAAGTTATCCATCGATTATTTTCATCAATCTCTTTTTAAAATAATGAACAATTTACTTTCTTCTAACTTTTTATTCCAATTGCCTATATAAAGAATTGTATATTCTAATTAGATTATTTTAAGCTCCCGTTGGGCCATAAATTTTGGCTACATTATTTCAATGTTTTTTTGAAAATATTATTTGTTTATGGAATATAATCATGTTTTGTGAAAAAAAAAATCAAAAATTTTCAAGTTCCCAAAAACTGGTTTAGGGTAGTTTTTGAGTGAAATTTTTTCTTTCACTCACAAAACTTTAATTTTTCTTCAAATAAAATGCATGTCCAAACACAACTTCAACTTCCAAAAAATATTTTTCCGCACAAATTTAAAAAATTCTTTTTTCAAGTTTCAATCAAATAAATGCTAGCTAATAGTTAGTTTATGCACTGACAAATTTATTTTTATTGGTTCCTTATAAATATATATTAACTTGAGATAATGATGATTTGCTTTAGAAATAAAAAATAGATAATCGATGTATTTAGTGTAGATAGGCTATCACCAAAATCACCACTTTTGTTTCTGTGAGTATATTACACTACTCAAGAGAAACACAAATTATTTATCCAATTGGTTCATTTTAAATATTATTATTTTTATTCTTACTACATTTTAAAAGGAGTGATACACTTTATAAATGAAAATATTTTAAATCTTAAATGTCTTATTTTACTCTTAATAATATACTTTTATAGTTATAAAATTATCATAGTATATTTAAGATCATAAAATTTAAAAAGGTACCACATAAGCAAAACAGGAGATTAGATTAATTTTAATTTATCAAGAAAAAAGAAAGATCAAATTTAAGTCTCACAAAATAAGCTTCCTCCTTTTTTGTATATTCAAGAAGAAATATTTTTATATCACATGTACCAAAATGTAAGTTGGACTTCTGAGAGCGCGTCACTTTCATGTGACATCAGCAGCAGCCAGGGAGAAATTAAAAAATAGCCAGATTTATAAGTGATCATTCAAAAATAGCCATAATTTTAAAAATAATCGAAATTTAACCACTTTTTATGTAAAGATAAATCTGAATAAAAACACTGTTCAAAATCCAGAAAAATACTCTAGTATAATATACTAGAGTTCCAGTATACTTATACTGGAACTCCAATATACTATAGTTCTAGTATACTTATGTTGGAATTCCAGTATAATATACTGGAGTTCCAGTATAATATACCGGTCCAACATAATATACTGGAAATTGGAGCACATTATACTGAAACTTTTCGCGTGTTGGAGTCCCAGCATAATATGTGGGAAGTTCATACACAGGTGCACCGATCTCCAGTATATTATGCTGGAACTTTCCGTATTGCAGCAAAATAGTGACTATTTTTCAATGACTTTGCAAACGCTGACTATTTTTGAATGACCAGTCCGAAAACTAGTTATACCCTTTTTGGGCTCGGAAAGAAGGCTCATTTATGATGGATTTACGAAAATGTACAAGTGCATTTATAGTAAAAAAGTGCAAAAGCAGGGCAAATTGAGACTTGCAAAAAGTACTGCAAGTCTTTCACCGCACCATGCAGTACAGGTCTACAAAGCAGAAAATGAAATTCCAAAAGTACCCTCGAAATAAATGTAATTCCAAGAGAGACACAGGGAGGAGCTTGGCTTTCCTTTATGTATAGTAGTAAAGTAAAGTAATGTGCTAAATTTGAAGAGTGTAAAACTGAGGTTTAGGTAAAGACCTTTGAGAGGGTAAGACTGAGGGTATCATTAGAAAAGAGCAAAAAAAATCTATTCTCTAATACTCTTGACTCCTAGTTGAAGGATTCCAGGGACATTTCATATTTTTCTTCTTTTTTTTTTCTTTTAGTTTCTAGAATTAAGAAAAAACACTTCAATTTCTGCTAAATAATCAAGAGCTTACTCCGTTCCATCATTTCCAGATTCACTACTTGGTTCCTAATTTAAGTTATTTTTTTGAAATTGTTTTGCATGAGCAGTCTTTTCCCAATGCAGTATTTTTTGAAATATATTTTACTTTTCCTCAATAATTAACTAGAAAGGGAGAAATTGTATCTGAATAAAATGAAAACAAATAAAATTGAATGGATACAAACTGGTATTCCTTCTTTTTCCGTTTTTCTCTCTTACCGGAGGAATGATCACTTTGAGTACAATACTGTGGGATTGATAATTTATTGCAAGAAGAAAATGAAGAAGATAATAGAGGGTTATTCTTTTGCACCTTCTTATATTTCATTTTTCTTTTTTCTTAGTCATAATATTCACTTAATTTGAATACTTGAGATGAAAATAGGTATTGGGATATTGTTTGGAACAAGCAAGACAAAGTAGGAGTTTTTGACCAAGTATATCTTGTTGGCGGAAATATAAGTACGGTTGAAAAATAACAAAACAACAACATCATCCCAGTATAATCCCATAAGTGGGGTCTAGAGAGGGTAATATGTACGCAGACCTTACCCCTACCCCGAGGGGCAGAGAGGTTGTTTCCAGGTTAAAAAATAACAAAGAAAAGTTAAATATCTTCTTCGGGCCGAGGCGCAAATATCTCGTTCAAGGAGATTCAAGCCACTACATATTACTGGTCCAACACTATTTCTCTTGATTTGTCTCCCCAAGATATAATAATCTAACAACATCGGAATAAGTTGTTGAGTCGAAAACTTCGCCTAAATAAACATCTTCCTTCGACAAAGTAAAATTCTATTTTCTAGTAAAAAGTTGAAGATTTAGAATTCTTTCTCACAACTGTGTTTTCTTTTACAAATATAATTCTCCTTTTGTGCACATTACAATACTTTTCACACATTCAAAAGGTAAAATGACCACTATTTATAGGTGTAGAATTCTTCCTTAAAATAAATTGGTAGATAATCAAGTACTAATTGTGAGCACGTGATTTTTGTTTACACGACAATTACTCCAAAAGAAATCGAAAATAAAATAAATTGTCTTGTTGTACAATTTTAGAATCTTTTGCGTGGCATTTTTTGATAGTTATTTGTAGTTTTGTCTGTGATTTGTTTAGTTTTATCAATTAAAAATACAAAAAATATATGTCGCGTGTAAGTTTAGGATCTCGTTCTACTATTAGGAATTAATCAAATCGTATTTGGTTTTGAATGAATAAAAAATCACAAAAAATATTATCGTTGGTAATTTTGTCATTCTATCGTTTAAAGGTTGATTTTTGTTTAATTAATATACGATATTGTGTGTTAATCATTACTAAAAATCAATTAATGTCTTGTGATATAATTTTAATTTTATATTTTTCATAATTTATTTTTAGGAGTTTTTGTAAATTCGGATTTTTTTTAATTAAAAATAGAAAAGAAAAGAGTTTGAAAGTGGACTAAATCGGAAATGGGCCATTCAAATTGGACCCAAATCAGTGTCTTGCCTGGTCTAGATCAGCTGACCCCAGGGACGTCCAGACGACGTCGTTCTGATCATGCTAGATCTGGGTCGTTGATCTCAGGATGATCAACGGCCAAGATCACATCTCCATACCCACGTTTTAACCCGACCCGTCTCACCTAGAGACCCACCGGTCTCACTTAATCCATACGGCGTCGTTTCCATTTAAGCTGATCAATCCATGCCATTGATCTTTGATGATCTAACGGCCTGGATTAAATTTCCCCCTAACTATATAAACCCAATCCCTTACCCCCACGCCCCCCTAAGCCAGACCCCCCTTCCCTATCATCGTCTCCTTCCCAAACCCCCTCAAGAACCCTAGCGCCGCCCCTCTTTTCCCTCACCATAAGCCCGGTGGCAACGATGTTGGTGACCACCAGACTAACACCCCTAGTGCACCTCGACCCCCTGGACACGGATCTGCAAACCGTTGGTCTCGAATCTTCCCCCATCATCTTGAATCTTCATTTGAAGATTCGAGCCAAACCCCAAACTATGCCAAATCACCCCAAATCCATACCAGTTACCCCCCTGACCTCCCTCGTGACCAAACCAAGCTTGGTTTGGTCCGAATCTAACCAGAAAATTCCAAGTCCCAAATCAGCCCCAAGAACCCTAGAAATCCAGAATCTGAGGGTTTTGTCCAATTAAATGAAAGGGTTGGGGTCTAATAGACCTTAATCGAAGTGTTCTCAGTTGAGAACACTTCGATTAAAGTCCGTTCAACCCCAAAAGAAGTCTGAGTCAGAATCCAAGACGGGTTCGTCTGATTTTCATTTTCTTAAGGTATTTTTCCTTTTTCTTGTCAGTTCCATGTTGTTTTCTGTTGATGTTTGTTTATGTCAGTTGATTTGTTTTCATTTTTGTGTCGACTATTCTGTCCACCTTGCTCGGACCTTTTATTTGGTCAAATTTTTTCCCTATTCATTGACGAGTGTATGCGTTTAACTATATAATCGATTGAAATAAGTTTTGATCAATTAATTAGTTTCCAGGGCAACTCTTTGTTGTGGGCAGTGCAATTTGAATCACTTGTTAATACTGTTGGATTCTGATCATTTGCTATTGATTGTGTGTGTTGTAATTCGCGTA